CATTTGTGCAAAAATAGAAATGTCATCTTCCATCGAAGCCGGAGGGTCGTGGACAAATGTTCGAAGAGGTCAAAATCTTGGCAACAAGGTAACAAAATAATAATAATTTCCGTTTTATTCAATTTAATGTCTTTATATATATATATATATTTCTTGCATTTCCAATTTCTTTTTTTTAATAGATTAGTCAAGGCAAAACAAAAAAGAGGAAAACCATTACACATGGCTCCTCAAGTGAACAATGCCCGCAATCAGTTCTAGTGGTGCGTTCCATGTCAGAAATAATGGCATTATTACGTCCTCCAAAGGAAAATACTCCCACACGTCATGATCCGGTGGAACCGCCTCCGCCAATGATGGAGTTGTCCTTGTATTCCATTGTCTCGGACTATGAGGACCAAGAATATTTCAATTGTATGATGAGTAAGTAGGTATTTCAATTGTATGATGAGTGAGATGTGAATTTTATAATAAATATGGACACATGGTAATCGAAAATTTTATCAGAAAAATGTTATCTTAAATTTTAAGTGAAAATTTTATAATAAATAGTGACATGTGACAACCGAAAATATAATCTAAAAAGCTTATCAAAATTAATGGTTTAAAGTATAAAAAAATAGGAAATAAAGTACAATGAATAGTATTTGCCTTAGACTTGCCCTAGACTTTGCCCTCATGGGTGGAACCACAAATGCAAAGACTGACACTATTCATGTGAATAGTGGCAACCCTTGCTTGCCCTTGCCTTAGACTTAGCCCTTGTGGGTGGAAGTGCTCTTACATCCATGCGTTTTTTAGAGGGGCAACCGTCACTTTTGCTCCGAGTTAAAGTTCAAATTTGTAAGGAATTTTCTTTCTATAAAAACTGTGATTATTATTTTGTAATCCTTGGGTAATTTGAATTTCATGTCAAATACCAAACATTAAATTTTATTTTGGTAGCTTAAGTGAAAATTTGACATATAATCTATACTAGCTTTTTCGCACACGCTTCCGAGCCTGCGAAGGTTTTTATTTATTTATTTATTTAAATTTATTTTATAATTAAAAAAGATAATGGATAGTTGTGTTCATAAAAATATGATTCATTATTTGATTTGATTTTTAATTTTAATTTTTTTAATATGAAAAAAAAAGTGAGAATTTATCATATTATCCTCATTCAATTAATAATTTTTATTCTTAATTTTGAATGTTTCATCATTCTTAATATCCATTCACACTTTTTTTCATATTAAAAAAATTAAAAACAAAATCAAATAATATGTCCTACTTTTATGGAACATAAGTACCTATATTATTTTTTCTTAATTTTAAAAATAAAATATAAAATCAAACCAATTGGCAAATACGTGAGTATGTGCCAAGGGGCTAGTAGAGTTTTACATTTCACCTGACATGTCAAATTAAAAAAATTATTTTATTACATTTTTATACGAATTATTTTATTACATTAGTGTTGATTTGTTTATTACTTTCTGAACATATAAATTGAAAAAATTAATGAAATAATGAAATAAAATCAGAAAGTCAAACATCCAAAAATAGCAGCATAAAGGAGAAATGTTATTCCATGTTGGATTTAACATTTTAATTGGAGTGAGTCTCGGCTATTTTTTCTACATGCATTTATATACCAATATTTCTCAAATCACTCTACATGCACTTAATTATGCAGATTCCTTCCAAACATGGAACTAATAAAAAGAGTAGTCCGTGTTACAATTAATCTAAAATTAAGCTAGAAACTAGTAATTAAGTACTGCTAGAGAGCTCTTCAAAACAAGTTAGGCAATATTTATATAGTGCCGTGGTGATCATTGATCATCTGCGATTGCAAAGGCTGAGGCCACACAACAAGGCCTCATGAAGTGGAGATATCAATGATATGTTTCTTCCTTGCAGCATGTCGACCCAGCAGCTTAAGCTTGCAGAAGAAACACTACTATTATTAATAGCACCATCTTCAACCATCAAATTAGCACCAAGGTCGTGATATTTGGAGCTTTGTGGAAAAGACCCCAATGGAGGAGGATTATAATTATCGACGCCACCAAAGTTCTCCAGCTCTACTAATCCAAAATCTCCATTATAACCAGGCTCTAACTTAACATTACCGTAAGATAATTCAGAGTGTTGATTCCGACAATCTTGACTATTCACAGTGGTATTAGGCAATTTACCCTTATCACAAATATCATTAATGTCAAATCCATGAGGAAATTCGATATTATTAGTGGTATTCGGCAGTTTACCGTTACCACGAATGCCATTAGTGTCAAGTCCATTAGCAAATTCAATATTATTATCGTCGGATACTTGCAAAGTTGGGCCATTGTTGAAGTTATAACTATTTGGTTCTAACAATTCTGCCATGCTCTCTTCACCATGATCTTCTTTGGCAAAGTTGGGCTGAATAGTTTTTGTTTTTCCCCGGAAAGAATTAATATTCTCTTCCAAAATTTGTATATGGGTCTCTAAAGCCTTTGAATACTTATCCAACTTTGGTTTCTCTTTCTCATCAAAACCCTCCTCGTCGTATCCCTTCTTTTTTCCTCTACGCTTTTTCATCTTTCCTCCGTGTGAACATTTTCTGAAATCCGTGATGATTTCTCTGGCCTTCGCCGGGTCCTTTGGCCAAACAGAAAAATTACCCTTGGAATTGTAAGAAACCATGCAAACCCTAGCATTGCATAGTTTTTCAAGCGCCTCTGATTTCCTGTGCATTGTCGCGTGCCTCTTGGAGCCCGACATTGCTCCTTGATAAGACTCCTCCGCCGAGAAACTATTTTTGCACTGCCGTTTGAGGTCCTCCGTTTTTCTGGCCATTGAATCCGCCATGCAAAAACCAGAAGAAAAAAAAAACACACACACACAGAGGTTGAAGACAACGCACAAGTAAAACCAGAAGGAAAAGCTTGCAAGTAAAACAATGGAGAGTTTAAGATAATATATAGGAAGCTATTGAGCTTGGGTTTTTCTGGTATATGTGGGGAAAAAATCTGTCTTTGATTTTCCTAATGGCAGTGGGTCAACTGGTTCTTGCATCAAAATACAATATCACCCATGTACGGAGCAAAGCTTTGAGCTATAGAAAAGGAAAGAAGGAATGCTAGCTACACCAGAAAACTCTTCTTTTTTAACCGTTTTACCCTCCACCACACGACAAGGCATTAATTGTCCCACTAGACAAATAATAAATTGGGGTAACACAATTTGTACTCCCGATAATTTTCTGTTTTTATAAATCAGGGCAATTATGTTGGCTGAGGTTAAAAAAAAACAGGACGATTATGTTATGTAACGATTTCCTAATGATCTAAAAATTGAGTAAGATTTATATATGCTTGTAATGGTTCTATGTAGTTGCCGAGTGATAACATGTATGAACTATTTACGATTATTTTTCGAAAGTAACTAGGCCATGATCAAGTGTTTGCTCAACTGGTTGTAAGGGTAATTTAAGAGTTGCTTTGGTGTATTAAATGATAATGAAATGGTCTAAAACAAATTGAACACATAAAGTTTTTATTTTATTATATATATATATATAGAAATTCTGGGATTGCATTTATTATTAAGTCAAAAAAAGTCACTAGTCATAAAAGGCCAATACAAATTAGCTATAAAGAGCAATACAAACTAACGATCTAACATTAAAATTAAGACAATCTGGTGTGCCTCCACCAACGATCATGCATGATCGAAAAAACTCTGATATAGGCACTGAACTAAGATTGTAATGAGGATGGTGGTGGAGATTCGATGAAAAAGCAGGTAGAGATCCGACGTCGAGATGCAGTCTCCTATTATGGATGGAGGAAAATCATAACATAGTGAAGTCAAAAAAGGGACCTTCTGTCACTGAAAATGGGGGAAAAGAGGAGAACGGAGGAAGATACAAGGGAGAGTGGAGGAATTAAGGAGAGGGGAGGGAGAGGGGAGAGGGGAGGAAGAATATTAGCTTCCTCCCTCCTCAAAGTGAAAACGGCGCTAAGAGTGTTTTTTGGAGGATGAGAGCGAACAAGTAAAGTTTAATGGCTTTGTTTGATTGTGCACTACTAGAAAATCTTATTATAACCACTAGATAACCTGTGGCCTATATTCATAACAAAGGATCCTATGTATTCGACTCTAGGCATTTGAAATTTTGGTACTTTTTGAAGTGAATTAGATTTATTACAAATTCTTAAGTCCGTGATGTTAGTCAAATTACCAGAGTTAGCATAGTTAATTAATGACATGTAAATAGGCTATAAAACGAGTGCGGGTCTGGAATTTTATGGCATGAATCATAGGTTCTTTATAATGATATATTTGATTATGGGAGTTTCTGAATTAAGCATGTTTACTTATCATGAATGAGTATTGAAATGATTTCAATTTCTGACTTGCCTGCATTTACTAATACATAAGTCAAAATAAAAAATTTGTGGATTTCACCTTAAAATATGTTATCGAAGACGAATGTCCTCAAATCCGGAATGAGATCAACTAGGGGGAGTAGTTGATCCAATTCCAATACCTTGATTTCTCTATCTAATTAATTCCCCAATTCATAGTTTTTCCCATTTCATGATAAGAAAATGTAACATATATATTTTAATATTTATGGAAAAAATTTAAGCAAGCATGGGTGCTACTGGAATATAATTATGACAGATTGTGTTTTCCATAAACATTAAACTAAGTTGAGAAAATCCCATAATCAAATATGTCATACTAGAGAACCTGACATTCATGCCTTATATCAGACACTAAAAAAAAAACATTCAGGCCTTAATGTTCTAGAGTCGTTACCAAAATAAAAATAAAAATAAAAATAATCCTAAATTGACTTAAAAAGCCTTGGCTTAAATGTCAATTTTTTTGGGATATAACTAAAGCACAGCCCAACTTAATTAAATAAAACAGACCTAAAGCCCAGCCCAGGCACAAACTACCGTAGGGTATGGAACTTCTCTCTCTCCACTTCTCTCTTCTTCAGTTCATTTCTTTTTCTTCGATTCTTCCTCTTCCTTTTTCAAGCTTCATCTCAATGAGGTTCTCTTTCCAACATACATAGAGCATTGCTTAGCTCAAAAGTTCAGTGCCATTTTGCCTTTGAATTGTAAAATAGAGCTTCAATTTCTTCATGGGTTAATCGACGACATTTCAAGGAAGATGATGGCAATAACAGTGAAGCCTCCTTCATCCCAATCACCATTGTTCAGGTACGTTTCGCAAAACCCAGCTTTGTTTCTCTCTCGGTTATTCTGCTCTGGAAGCTCCATTAACGATGACGTTGAGACTATTTTTCGCATAGTCAGTTGCTCGAACCAGTCTAGAAACTTGAAGCAAGCATTGAAATCAAGTGGGGTTTTTCTCTCAAATGATTTGATTGATAAGGTTCTAAAACGGGTTAGGTTCAGCCATGGAAACCCATTACAAGCTTTGGAGTTTTTCAATTATACTGGGAATAGAAGAGGGTTTTATCACAGTTCTTTCTCGCTGGATACTATGCTTTATATATTAGGAAGAAGTCGAATGTTTGACAAAACTTGGGAGGTCTTAGTTGACATTAAGTATAAAGATAGAAATTTGATAACCCCACGGACTGTGATGATTGTTTTAGCTAGGATTGCTAAGGTTTGTTCGGTTAGGCAAACTGTGGAGTCTTTTAGAAAGTTCAAGAAGCTTGTGCCTGAATTCGATACAACTTGTTTCAATTCTCTGTTGAGGACTCTTTGTCAGGAGAAGAGTATGACAGATGCTAGGAATGTGTATCATAGTCTGAAGCATAACTTTACGCCCAATTTGCAAACTTTCAATATATTGTTATCCGGGTGGAAGTCATCTGAGGAAGCTGAGGGGTTCTTTAAGGAGATGAGGGAGATGGGTGTGGAGCCTGATATCGTTTCATACAATTGTTTGGTTGATGTTTATTGTAAGAGTATAGAAATAGACAAAGCATATAAAGTGGTAGAGCAAATGCGTGACGAGAATATATCACCTGATGTGTTCACCTATACTAGTATCATTGGGGGATTGGGGTTGGTTGGTCAGCCTGATAAAGCCAGAGATGTATTGAAGGAAATGAAGGAGTTTGGGTGCTACCCTGATGTTGCAGCATACAATGCTGCCATTAGGAATTTTTGTATTGCGAAGAGGCTTGGTGATGCTTATGAGTTAATGGATGCAATGATGAGTAAGGGTTTGAGTCCAAATGCAACTACGTACAATTTGTTCTTTAGGGTTTTCTTCTGGTCGAATGACGTGCAAAGCTCATGGGGTTTGTATGGGAGAATGATGCATACTGGATGCCTGCCAAATACACAGTCTTGTATGTTCCTGATTAGGTTGTTTAAGAGGCAGGAAAAGGTGGATATGGCATTGCAGCTGTGGAATGATATGGTTGAGAAGGGTTTCGGTTCTTATATATTAGTATCTGATGTGTTGTTTGATTTGCTTTGTGACTTGGGAAAACTAATGGAAGCAGAAAGATGCTCTTTGCAGATGATGGAAAAGGGGCATAAGCCAAGTAATGTTTCCTTTAGAAGGATCAAGGTTCTTATGGAACTGGCAAACAAGCATGAGGCCCTGAATAACTTGACAGAGAAAATGGCAGTTTTTGGCTCTTCAATCCATCTTCCTGGGAGTACAAAGAGCTCAGCAGAGACATCACGTTTAGAATCACTTCCAATATAGAAGTGTGTGGGTTACTAATCATGATTTTTTTGATGGTGTTGTGGAATTACTGATGCCGAAAATGTTTCTGATTGATATGTGAGAAAAGGTGCTTTGCATGATTGGGAATTTTAGGCTTGCCACGGTGAAGTGTTAAGAGCATAGCATGTGGATTTGGAATTCAAAAGTTTTTTTTTTTGGCTTGGGCCTAGTCTTGGCACTTGCGTGTAATGTCTGTTACAAGTTCAATGGATTTAGATACTGTGCCCTGGGCGTTGGTGGTGTTGATTTTTTTGTGGAAAGGAGGTTGCAAATTTATAGACTGGTTATGCTGAAATGTTCTTACTTTGCAGAAACGTGGCACACCCTTTGTTACTTGTTTGAAAAATATTCATATTGTGCTTTTACTTGCATTTAATACGGTGCAGTCAGATGGGCTCACCCACCCTGCAAATTATCCTAACTGCGCCTCAGAACTGTTAGACAACTTTCTAGTTTAAGTCAGGTGAGGAATAATGTTTCTGACTTTCTTTGTACAATTTTGTTGTTGTTGCTCCTCTTCTTACATAAATATAAAAGAGGTGGTATCTCCTGTTGAAGATTATGAGTGACATGGGCTTGTGTCTATTTTTCCTCCATTTGAGTGAAAGACAATTGTGTTGGTGAAAAAATTTTATGGCTTGAGATTGTATGTCCAAATCGTTGCTGACCAGTCATGATAAATTCTGTTTCCTCCTCACAAAGCGTTCTTTATTCCTGCTAACATGATTTGCAGCTTGTGTCTATAAATTCTGTTAACATGATTCAGTTGAAATCCTTACTTTTCTTAACCCTTATCCTGCTAGGTCATGCTCAAACGAATCTTAGGTTCGTGTGGAAGTACCACAAGACATTCTTTATTCCTCGCATCAATTCATAATTTGTGGTGCCTTAATGATCGACCAATTAGTGTTTTCATTGTTTTGTATTTGAGTTTATAAGTACTGATTTTACTTTCATATGGTAATTTGACTATATTCTTCTTCGTCAGTAGGAGTATGAAGATGTATCTATGAAGGCAAATCAAGGCTTAATGTATCCTTCAGAGCCTTTCACCACCCATGTCCCTTGGGGAGATAGCAAGGACTTTGGGATGTTTGAACGCATGCAGTTATTCCTTAGCATGTGCAGTGGAATGACAGAGGAAGCTTCAGCTCAAAGTATGGGAAATAGAAGATCTACTTGCTGCTGTATGCCTAACCAAATACTATTCCAAGGGTTGTGAAAGCCCACAATGTAGTATTTGCTACAATTGCTTTTCTGTGATGTTTGAACCAGTACAAAAAGTTCAGGGGATGACTTTACTACTGACAGAATCGCTGAGGCTTGTACCTGCTTCATAGGGACCAGGTACCGCGAACCTAACGGAATAAGCAATGTCCCATGCCTTTCTTGGTTGGACCCCCAACCAGCGATTTTCATCTTCCTGAATTGGGATATCAAGGCTAGGTAGGCAAGTTTACAGATACTGCTGCATTATGCGTCTTTAAATTGTGTATATTTGCCTCTGGTTGATATGCTGCTGCATTATGCGGGTGAAAACTTAAGCCGGCGACATTTTGGCATGTCTGTTTGTAACAAAAATGTAAAAGTTCCTCATGTTGTACTCTAAGATATTCCTTGATATAATTTCATTCGCCACAATTCAATTCAATTATATGATCAAGCATGGCCTCCATAGAGAGATTGCAACGAGATTACGAAGTATAAAAAGACAGCTGCTTATAAGTTGATGGAAGGTAACAGTGATGCTAAAACCTTCACCTAAGGCCTCATTCGAAAGTTCTTGCTGAAGTTTTTTTTATAGCCATTTTTGCCAAATTCACACACACGGGTCAATCCAACTAACACTCCATTGGTCTTGCTCAAAGTTTATTTCGGTTATTAAGCCAAAATAAACAGCTCAATTTCTGTGTTTTAATGTGGCCACTTTCACCTTGAAAAAAAATAAAACCAATTTCATCCTTGTAAATAAAATTGACTAACTATGGTGTCAAACACAGTAAACTAAATTAATCAAATTAAAAATTCCTAAACTAAATTTGCAAAACTAAAAATATCTGAACTAAATTAGCCATTTTTAACACAGTTACTAAATTGATCAAATTAAAAATACAAAAACAAAGTTGGTAAAATTAAAAACACCGAAACTAAATTGACCAATGTATTCAATACTTTGAGCACTAAAAAAAGTAGAGATATTTCATTTCATTCCACGCAATATACTATCACGACTTTTTCTTTTTGGTTACAATAATTACAAATTTATAAATAAACCAAATCCTAGACATGTATTTATAAAAAAAACCCAAGCACTATTTAAACATAGAAATGCACCCAAAATCAATCCCAAAGTCAACTTTTTGGGTGTGTTTATAAATGGGTTTTGAGTGTGTGTAATGATGGGTTTAGTGCTTGGATTTTTTTATAATTTCAACTCCCATTTTGAGTGTTTTAGTGAAACTCCCAATAATATACTATCACGACTTCGCATATTCCAAAAGCACCTTTTTCTTTTTCTATTATATTTTATGTTATAAAATCCAAAAATTTATAAACCCTAACCATTACATCACCACCGCACGTATATTTCCCTCCACAAACCCTAACCCATCACATACATTTCACCTTAGCTCTCTCTCTGTACAACGGCTAGGCTTCGAAGATTGGACAATTGTCGTTGACCCAATGGCTTTGGTTAGTCTTTTCCCTTCTGCATTTTGGTTTTTTCATTTTATGCTATTATCAAACCCATTTTTGTTCTTCCATGTAATCTGGACGTGAAACATTGACCATATAACTGGAGCTACTCTCTTACCGTTGATTTTGATTTACCCTCTGAAATTGGTGGGAGGCTCTTGCTCCATGGTTAAGTGATTCCAACATGTACAGAAACAAGAACAATACTCTAAAATGGACTCCATTTTCTTTGTTTTTGAATTTTTGTTTTTTACTGTCAAATGCTAATTAGTTTAATTACCAGTATCAGAATTGACACAGAATTTGTTGGGTGATGTTGGAATTGTATCTAATAAACAAAATGTTTATATATGTTTGATCTACTTCTAGGTGTTGCACGCGGGGAACACTAATAAAAATGGTTTCAAGGCACTTATTGCTGCCGAGTACAGTGGTGTCAAAGTTGAACTGGTGAAGAATTTTGAGATGGGTGTGTCCAACAAAAGTCCCAAGTTTCTTGAAATGAACCCCATCGGGAAGGTGGGCTTTATTTCTTTTTTATGTAGACAAATTCTATTTGTTAAAGTATATTTGGTATGATTTGTTTGGTTTTGTTGTGTAGGTTCCTGTGTTAGAAACACCTGATGGACCTGTTTTTGAGAGCAATGCCATTGCACGCTATGGTGAGGCTAGATTTTAAGCTTCTTTATTTATATCTAGAAATGTTGTTATGTTTAAATCTAATTGTATGCTTTCATTTGCTGCAGTTACTCGGTTGAAGGCAGATAATCCTCTTTTTGGTTCTTCCTTAATTGAATATGTAAGTGATGTGATGGCTGTCTTGCACTTGTACACCTCCCCCATTTATTAAATATGTGTCCTTTAAAGCTTCCATTTATTCAATTCTGAATTCCCCCTTGGCTTATATGGTCAGAGTAACATGTGTGGGTTGATGAATGTTAAAAATCTACTGGTACTCATAGTGAGGTGACTTTGGATTTATAATTGGGTAAATTATTATGATTATAGGCTTAGGTTGCATGAATTAAAAAGCTTTAGAACATCCATTAGAGATTTTTACTGATATGATCTTCATTAGAATGTGAATATGGTTTGCATTCCACATTCCGTTGAGGTACTGATGATTTTTACCATTATTTTGTTGGTTTTGACAGGCTCATGTGGAGCAATGGATTGATTTTGCCACTTTGGAGATTGACTCCAATATTTTGCGATGGTTAATACCACGTATCGGTTTTGCTGTTTACCTTCCTCCGGTTAGGCATTACTGCATTTAGTTTTTTCATACAGTTATATACCACTGTTACTTTTATGTATCTAAATGGGTATATTAAAGCGATTGACACCCAATTTTTTTTATTGGCACAAAGGCTGAGGAAGCTGCAATTTCTGCATTGAAGAGAGCGCTAACTGCTTTGAATACTCATCTTTCTTCCAACACATACCTGGTCGGGCATTCTGCGACGTTGGCTGATATCATTATGGCATGTAATTTGACTCTGGGATTTAGCCGGTTGTTGACAAAAAAATTTACCTCTGAATTTCCCCATGTTGAGAGATACTTTTGGACCTTGGTTAATCAGCCAAATTTTCGCAAGATATTGGGCGAAGTTAAACAAGCAGAATCTGTTCCATCTATTCAGTCAGCAAAGAAGCCTTCACAGGCAAAGGAACCCACAAAACCTAAGGATGAACCAAAGAAAGAGGCCAAGAAAGAACCAGCGAAGCCTAAATTAGAAGAGGCTGTTGCTGAAGAAGAGGCACCCAAGCCCAAGGCAAAGAATTCTCTTGATCTTTTGCCTCCTAGCAAGATGATTCTGGATGAATGGAAAAGGCTTTATTCAAACACAAAGACCAACTTCCGTGAGATTGCTGTTAAAGGTGATTTCTTTTAACTTTCCTATATCTATGCATTAACCACATCTTGTTTTTTTTCAGTACAAGTGATAGTATCAACCACATCTTGTTTTTAATTTGTCATAAACCTGCATAGTTCATGTGGTTTTGCTTGCCAGTCAGGATATAGTATTGTTATTGTGCATTCTTCGAAATGAAGTTTGTTTCTATTTTTGTCTATTTCTTTTTCACCAACATTAGCAACTATTTACTAGAGGATCAAAGTGTAATCTGGTCTAAACTATATCGAGGAACAGCATAATTTATCCTGGTTTCAAATGACTGTATATCATATCAAGGATCATCATTAGCCACTGTTTTCCTTATACATTTTCTCTCTTAGCTCTCTGTTTACTAGGCAAGCCGTGCATTATTTTGTATCTGTTAATACAGGTATGAAAGGTGGATAATTAAGAATGCACTAATGCAGCAGACTGCAGCTGTAAATACCTTCAAATAACATTTAGATTTTCTTCTGGATGAGAATCACCTGGACTCTTGCGATTTAACTACCTCTAGACATTCAGTTCTTGGGACTTTCCGTGATCGCTCCTCTTGTTAAAAATTCACTTGAGGGCAAGGATTTTCTTTAATGAAAGATTTAAGAACTCTGGACACTAGTGCTCATATTTGCTCAAATATTGCTTTATATATTAAGGTGAAGTGGACAATTATCAACTTGAATATGTATATATATATTTTTTTCACCTGTCACTTCTGTTTGCAGGATTCTGGGACATGTACGACCCAGAGGGTTACTCTCTTTGGTTCTGCGATTACAAGTACAATGATGAAAATACTGTATCATTTGTGACTTTGAACAAGGTGGGTGGTTTCCTGCAGCGGATGGATTTGGCTCGTAAGTATGCATTTGGGAAGATGTTGGTGATTGGCTCTGAGCCTCCATTTAAGGTTAAGGGCTTGTGGCTCTTCCGGGGACAAGAAATTCCAAAATTCATAATTGACGAGTGTTATGACATGGAACTGTACGACTGGCGTAAGGTTGACATCACTGATGAGGATCAAAAGGAGCGCGTTAATCAGATGATTGAAGATCAGGAGCCTTTTGAGGGGGAGGCTTTGTTGGATGCTAAGTGTTTCAAGTGATGAGAGAAGTGTCCTAAAGAAGTAGATGTAATGTTTTAGCGGTTTCTTAAAATTAATCTTCATTGTGGTTGTATTACAACGTTGTCTTCTGCTCTTGTTCTTGCCTTTTTGTGACATTGATAGCATCATGTATTTTGTTCTCCTATAACATTATCGGTTATATTAGGAATATCAATTGAACTTCGTTTATTTTGCAAGTTATGACAGATTGTTATTTTGTTATACTATAGTACATAGCAGCAAACTCAAAGCTAAGTTGCATGTCTAGAGGCCTAGCCTAGTCATTAGTGCTTTCTGCAGTGACTAAGGCATTTCTAAGTTTGGGTGCTGGTGGTTTAACAAAAAAATTCAGTGTAGACATGAGCAATTTGCTCTATATTCATTAGAGTTCACTAGTATGGATTGTGGCAATAGGAAAATGTCTAGATATCACTGTTATTCTTAGAATAATCATGATCTATGGAAAATTGGAAAAAGCCATTGCAAATATTAATAGTTATCCTTATTTCTGAATTGACTAATTCGTGCCCCTTTGATATGAGCTTGTGTCCTTGGATTGGAAGAAGCAAATTTATTGAAACCAGCCTTAAAATGGCACAGATGCTCTCGTGAGAAAGTATTTACAGCTACCTCATTTGACCAAATAAATTGAGGTAATATGTTCAGTGTGAGGTATTTGAGCTTCTGCAGCGTCATTCTCTTCGTAATTTCTGCCGCCGGTTAGTTTCGTTGAAGCACCTCATGGAACAGTATTGTTATGAGAATTTCTCAGTGGGTTTCTGGAATTTATTATAAAGTGAAGCATGGTGCTCATGGCTTCTAAACAATGTCTGGCTCTTATTCAACTTCTGGCGCATATGAAGAGAGCATTATTCAAGTGTATTGCACTCAATGTTTCCATACTATAATAATTTTTTTGTTATAAAAGCATTTT